GTGAAAAAAGTCAACATTTCCTAACATATATTTTGCAACAGTGTTGAAGGATGGAGACCTGTGATTGGTCTTATCCCACGATGTTCGTCACTTGTTTAGGATGCTTATTGTCATTATTTCTCACTACAATAGAGGTAACAGAAATTGATGGAGTATTGTTATAAATAAAATGATGTTGGGCTAAATATGTTTATTATTAGCTCTATAATTATTACAGAGGCATTATTTAACCTGCTATCATAATAAATAAGATACAGACACCAAAAAAAAAACTGTTAAGTTAAATTTACCACAAAATAATTAAGTTAACTATCATTTAATATGTAACAGCGTCACATTACTTAATGACATCCTAACCGAAATCAGACATACTATATAATTAGAGAGTATTGCTTTAAAACACCTAGCACCTGCCTGCTATCTCCTTTGTTTTCTGAATTAGAGCTTTATTGGACTCAGGCTTCAGACTAAGATGACACCTTTGAAACATAGCAAATGAACAGGCAGAATGCCAAGAAATCTGCTAAAGTTAAAACACAAAGGGGCTTGACGAAAAAAGCTTAATCTTTTAACACTCTTAGCTCAGTGTTACTGTAGTAAATGGCACAGGTTTACTAGTTTGATTCTTTTCAACTGCTTCTTGGCACAGTTACATTGTAGATGTTTGATTTACCTGAAAAGACTTTTATGGTAACTTCTTGTCACACTGTGTAGTGTTTACAATTTTTATAATCTTTATGCAGTTACTGATGCAAAGGTGTATAAAAAAACAATGTCAGACATGTGTACTGTATGAGTACTTATTTAAGTCATTTCCGTGGCCTCTCATGTACTGCTATGTTTATTAATGTAAAGTTTGGGTACTTAAAACAACCTGTCTAATTTTGATAGATTTCAGTTGGCCATAGCTTCTGACTCACTCTGTACTGTTTTTTTGTGATCTTTTCAATCAATGTGATTACACAGCAAAGCTTATTATTACTTCATCATTAAATATTATAGTCTTTTGGTATGATAATACATATGTGTATGTTTATTACAACTCAGCAACCATGTATGTTCTGTAATTAAATAAAGAACCCTATCAAAATTATAAATAGAACATAAGGTGCTCTACATATATCATGCTGACCCAATGCTGATCCCATCATAGCATATTTCTATAGATGCAGAAGAATATAAAACTCTGGTGAGGGGATCAAATACAATTATCTATCTGTTGTGCTACCCAATCCTCCCACACAAAAAAATCAGAAAACTATATGATGACTCTGTAGACAATAAAGCAAAGTTAGAGAAATGGAAAACGGAATAAACCCCAAGAAGCAAAAGCAAACCCAAACACACACATACACACACACAGAATCACAGAAAACACTGCCACCACTACCACCACACCACACCAAACAAACAAACAAAAACAAAAACCTGCTGTCCTGTATATGGTGTGTTTGCCTTTTTTTCGCTTTTTTAAGTCTGTAACAAACTACTTAAATGAAAATCTAGATGTAACAAATCCAGAAGAGCAGAGATTCTTGGAAAGGAGGCAGGCCACATGGGAAGCAACAAGGGCAATCCTTTGTAGATTTCAGAAATGGCAATGCCAAAATTCTGTGTAAATTACCACAGAAATGTCAAACATGCCCAGACATTTGCTTACACTGGGCAGACATAAGCCAACACAGCAAAGCTTTCAATGAATACTAAAGAAGGCAACAGAAAACTCTGTGGGAATTATTTGCTTTAAAAATAATGGCATTTTTAGGAAAAGACTTATAGTTTGAACTCACACAGAAATTTACTGTACTTGTGAAACTGTTCTACATTTCTTTACATTCAGTGAACCAGAGAGTACAGCAAATCCCAAAGGGAAAAGAAACTTAACATATGTTAACCTGAAAAATAACCCAGATGTTTAACTCATTGCTGTTTGTTTAGAGCTGATATTTTAGAGAAGCTTTCCTTGTAATGAAGGAGGTAAAATGAAATAGTTAAAATGAATGAACAAAGAAAAATTCAAGGGAAAAAAACTAATTTTATAAAAGAAGATTAAAGTCTTAAAACAAAAATTAAATCATACCTGAAAAAGACCAAGAAAGTGAATGAATTGCTTCAGTAGCGTGGACAGGATTGTTGTTGAGTTGGTTAAATTAATGAAAAAAAAACAACCTTAAATGAATTTGTCTTTCGAGATTTAAGACCAAAGTTTAAAACTTTAAAAGATGTCTTGTGGGCCTGGGAGATAACATATGTGTAGTTACCAATGAATAAGAGTTTGGGTGGAAGAATTATGTATTGAATTGACCTTAAACCATCTAAGCATGTTGATTCAATGGTTGTATAGGCTGAAGAATCTCAGTACATCTTAAATAGGGTAATTAGCTCAGTGGTTAAAAGAACTGACTGCTCTTCCAGAGGACCTGAGTTCAATTCCCAGCACCCATGTGGTAGCGCACAACTGTCTATACCTCCAAGGTCTGACGCTCTCACAGACAAACACTCAGACAAACCACCAGTGCACACCAAATAAAAATAAACTATTAAAAAAAACATATATGGACTCATTTTAATTAAATTGATTTTAAAAAACATACTCCAAAATTAAAAAAAAATAGACATAATCTTTTCCTAGGAAGTGTGGGGAAAATGATAGCTTTTTTTTTTTTTTTTTTTTTTTTTTGTACAAAAACATAGTCTAGAAGAGAATGAAAACATGTCTTTGGAGAAAACACAACAGAAAATTCTCACCCACCCCCCAAATTATTCAGGAATAAATATAGCTGGGAAACTGATCTTTCTGGGTGTCAAGATCGTATACAATGTGAAAAGAAATCCCAGTGGGACCATCTACACCTGTCCAGGACTCTGCAAGAGGATGTGTAAAGATTGTCATACATTTCAGTTTAGCCTGAACTACAGTGTGTACAGAGCAATCAATACCAAAAGACACAACAACATACACAAACACAAAAGAAATAGAGGACCAACTGAATCCGAATTAATTAGATTTAGAACTTTAAGGACGAAGACAGATTGAGCTATTTTATGGCTTTTTTCTTAAGTTCTTCACAATATTTGTAATGCGTTTACATGCATGTTCTGGTGTTTAGATAAAGTTGTCAATAAATGTCACTGTAATGTACTTATTAATTATATTAAGATAATAGCTATTGAAGAAGAGTAAGTGGCATATATTAAAAAAATCAACAAATGTCAAAGTTTGGAATGTAATTAAAGCATTGTTGTATCTATTTTAGAAAATATAAAATATACTAAATTATTTACATAAATTCCACACAAACAAACTTTATGCAAAGAGTAAAGTTAATCTGTCACTCAGAAAATCAGGGGAATAATGAACATATGACAGAATCCTCAAATAGAAAACAGATACATAAAGGTTAATAGTAATTAAAAAAATACACTGTACACTAAAAATGACAACTTTGAAAAGATCAGCAGTGTTGGTAAATTTCCCAGAAAAGAAACATTCCCAATAAATAATACTTGTGAAGTAGATGCATGTCAAGAAGATACAATATAAAAATAAAGAAGATATGAAGTGAAATGAAACTGAATCACAGAATTTAAAATAAAATTAAATTTGCAAAACTAAGAAGGCATTGTAAATGTGAAGAAACATAGTATGATTATAAAGCAAAGTGTAACACATAACAGTATAGAGTTATATATTTTATACATTGCAATTTTTCTACTAAAGACAGTTTAATATGAATGATATATACATATATATGCATTTTATTATTTAGTACCTAGTTTCAAAAACAATAAGCATATTAGAAAATTAAGGTAGTCACACACTGTATTTATGTACATTTAAGCAGGAAAGTGAATGGTGATTTAAAAGTCAGCAAAGAAAATCACAGAAGGAGAAAATATGATACAACCATCACTTCATAAGGAAAGAGCGAAAAACCATATGGGACACAAGTTTATAGCCAGAAAACAACCTGACATAGAAATGGACGAATTACTAGAAAGACATCTCTGAAGAGGGATTATAACTAAGTTTAGGCATTCATAATCATGTGAAGCATCTTATTGGGTTACTTGTTTGTTAATATAAATATGATGTTGATAAAATAGCTTTCTTGCAATTTTATTATCAGAGTTCATAAGTACATAAACAAAACAGTTTTTCACGTATATTTTGGATATTTTTTAAAAGAAATTCTTCATATGAGTTGCATCTTTCTTAACAGCTACTATTGTTTCAATTAATATTAGTGTGAAATCTCATAATAAACTATTTTGTAAACAAGAGTACTTCAAAGAGTCCACCTAAGACTTCTAATTTCGTTCAGGTAAGAGAGCGCACCCAGCATTCACAATTCTCGTGCAGCTATGGCATTTCTTTCTTTAAATAACATATATAGAAAATTATTTTATTTTCCATATAATAAATCAAGGTAAACACTCAATTTATACTAGCCTTTAATCATGTAGTTACAGAATTCCACATAATCTCGAACTCACCCAATCCTGAAAATTTCTATCACAGTTTTGATAAAGTGCAAGGACTGGCATATGCCACTGTATTTTATATCTTGTATTGATGGCAATTAGTTCAGTAGAATTAGGAAAGACTGAAAACACAAATATAAGATTATGGCCTTTAACCACACACACACACACACACACACACACACACACACACACAATCACATATACATATCTGGTTATACCTTGATTATCTAAAACAAGCATGACTCAATTGACCTAGAATTTTCAGTTAAGTATTTCAAAAGACAACAGTCACTATTTTCTGGTAGTTCATTGAGTATAAATCACTGTAAATGTACAGTGACTTCTACTAGGTATCTTTAATAACTGACTTGAGTAATTGCTTTCCTTCTACATTTATCCATTGTATAAGGGAAAAAATGAGCACATTCTTTAGTTTGATTCCCGGATAAAGTTCACATTTTCTCAAACCACTAACGTTATTGTAATTAGAACTCCCCCTGGGTCTGACTTACATTCAATGTCAAGATGCATGCTCCTTTGGTGCCCACCAATCCTACTCGCAGCCTCACAGTCATATCTCCCCGCGTCCGTTAACTTCACATCTCTGATGTGCAGTGAGGAGTGTCCATGCTGCCCTTTGACTTCGATGCGGCCATCTGGGCTCTGCACACAATCATTCAGAAAAGTAAGTAAGTAAATAAATAAATAGATATAAGCAACAGTTTTCTTGTGTGGTTGATAAAAGAGGCACAAGTTCATCATGTTTATCGTGTGGCCACACCAGTGAACATATGCTGACTCAGCTTCCCGTTTCCACGGTCACCTGCTGCAGGGTACTGACATTTAGGGTGCCCTTTCACACATAGATCATCAAACATATTTCGTTATCTTTTTGCTATTTTTTTAATCTTTTTTTCTCTTTTAGGGAAGATTTTTTTTTTCTTATAAAATACATCCTGACTACAGTTTCTCCTCCTACCTCTCCTAGTTTCTGCCTACATCCATTCCCCTCTCTATATCCCCATCTCCCTTAGAAAAAAAGAGACACTGGGAAAGTTCCCAGACAGCAGAGCTATACAAAGAAACCCTGTATTGAAAAACAAAGAAACAAAAAAAAGAGAGGAAGAAAGAAAGAGAGGAAAAGAAAGAAGGAAGGAAGAAAGGAAGGGAGAGAAAGAAAGAAAGAAAGGAAGGAAGGAAGGAAGGAAGAAAGAAAGAAAGAAAGAAAGAAAGAAAGAAAGAAAGAAAGAAAGAAAGAAAGAAAGAAGGAAAGGGAAACAAAATAAATTAACAGTTTTCTAAAAGAAAACAATAAAGCATAACAAAACAAAATCTCAGCTAAAACAAGAAATCAACAGAAGGAAAAGAACACACACAAATGAAAGACCCACTCATTCACAAACTCATGAGTCCCTTAAACAATAAACTGAATGTTTATATTTTTGGTTGTGAGCCTAGCCTTTAATGGCTGAGCCAATTCCTAGTAACCATTTTGGGAGGTATTTCTTTCTTTTTTTTTTTTTTTTTTTTTTTTTTTTTTTTTTTTTTTTTTTTTTTATTTTTATTTTTTTTTTTATTTTATTTTATTTTTTCTTTTTAGTTACATTTTCTTAACTCCGTGTCCCAGCTGTATCCCGCTCCCTCATTCCCTCCCCAACCCCACACTCCCTCCCTGGTCTCCTCCCTGCCCCTTTCCAAGTCCCCTGATAGGGGAGGACCTCCTCCCCTTTCATCTGTCCCTGTTTTATCAGGTATCTTCAGGGCTGGCTGCAAAGTCCTCCTCTGTGGCCTAACAGTATATGAAAGAAGGGAAGTTAGTATGATATGGAAAGGATAGGAGCTCTACAAGGACCAAATATATCTGGGCACAGGGTCTTTTCTGAGACTGAAACTCAACCAAGGACCATCTATGGATATAACCTAGAACTTCTGCTCGGATGTGGCCTGGGGTAGCTCAGTAACCAAGTAGTTTTCCAAAGTAAGGGGGACACGGACTATTTCTAACAGGATCTCAAGGGCAGGCTGTTTGACACCTCCCCCCAGGGTATTTCTTTCTTAACAAGCATTTCATTCCAGATGTAAGTTAGTGTTTTATGACATTTAGGGTACTCATATGCCTTGTATTTTACTGAACAAATATAATTGAACATAGTCATGGAAGGTACAGGAAACAGAACCACTCACTGACTTTGGGACATCACCTGGAATTTTAAAAACAAATTTATCCTTTTGTTTACCTAAAACAAATAAACAAACAAACAAATAAAATGAAAGATATGATATATACAGTGAGGACCAGGTACAGACCCAGACCCATAGAGGCCCTGTGCTTGCTGCTTTATTCTCTATTTATTTGTGAGTGATTTCTTAAGTGAGTAAATTTAAAATAAATGTCTAAACATTTGTGAAATTTTATCATAATAATTTTAGTATCATCAGAATTCAATTATATCAAAATACTTCTCAAGCTTTTATTCAGCATAAAATTGATTGTGGGGCAGGGTAAGATTCTTGTTTTATATTATTATCAGTGTATTGTTATGTAAGCATATACTAACAACTTCCTTGGAATATATATTTTAAAAAACAATCTTTTTAAAGAACTTTCATAATGATTTTTACACAAAAAATATACTTTCTGACTCATAAATAATAGTAAACTATAGTTTAAGGAAATAAAACAATTACCAAGTTACTTAAACTGAAAAAAAGAAAAAAAAAACAGCAAAAAACAGGAAATCATGTAATTTAAAAAGAATTTGACAACCAAAAGTAAAATAATACATTTTCTTCTTTCTCTTCTTCTTATTTTATTGTTATTACTATTGTAATAAAAATAGTAATTGTTATTACTATTAATTACAATTTATTCAAAGTGTATCCTGGCTGTAGCCACCTACCTCATCTTCTCCTAGTCCTACCCCCCTCCCTCTTCTCCCCTGAATTCCCTCTCCTAATCCACTACATTTTGACCCTAGCCCATCAGGTCTCATTAAGACTGTCTGGATCCCTTTTCTTTGTGGCAGAGTAAGGCCACCTTGACATAGGGAAGTGATCAAAGAGAAGGAAACTGGGCTCATGGGAGAGATAGTCCCTGTTCCCCTTACTAGGGAACCCAAATGGAGACTTAGCTGCCCATGGGATACAACTGAGCAGAGGGTCAAGGTCCTCTCCATGATGGTCCTTGGTTCATTCACTCAGCAGTCTCTGCAGGCCACCCTGGGCCAAGTGTTTTTTGGCTCTCTTGGTTTCCTTGTGGAGCTCCTGTCTCCTTCAGATCTTTCTATCTTCCCCTTCTTCAATAAGATTCCTTGCACTCTGCCCAAATTTTGGCTATGAGTCTCAGCTTCTGCTTCCTTAACCTGTTGAATATTTGAGAGGCCCTTCGTGGTAGGCTTTTCTCCTGTTCCCTGTCTTCTCCTATTTCCTGTGTCTATCCTGTTTGCCTTTCTGAATGAGGTAATCCTGATTCACTAGGGTCTTCCTTGTGGTTTAGCTTCTTTAGAACCATAGATTTTAGTATATTTATCCTATATTATATGACTAATATTAACTTATAAGTGAGTATATACCATGTATCTTTCTGCTTCTGGGTTATTTCTCTTAGGATGATCTTTTTTAGTTCTATCCATTTGCCTGCAAATTTCATGATTTCCTTGTTTTTAATTGCTGAGTAGTATTCCACTGTTTAAATATACCACACTTTTTGTATCCATTCTTCAGTTGAGGGACATCTGGGTTGGTTCCAGATTCAGGATATTACAAATGAAGTTGTTATGAACATAGCTGAGCAAATGTCCTTGTTGTTTGTTTAAGTACCTTTTGGATATATGCCAAGGAGTGGTATAGCAGGATCTTGAGGTAGCAGTCTTCCTAATTTTTTGTCAAAGAAACATTATGAAAGCTTAAATCACACATTGATCCCAAAACCTTGTTAATGGGAGACTTTAACATTCCACTCTCACCAAGGGACAGATCATCTAGACAGAAGCTAAAGAGGGAAATAATGACAATTGCACGGGTCTTAAATCAAATGGACCTAATAGATGTTTACAGAACTTTTTACCTAAACACAAAAGAGTATACCTTCTTCTCAGTACCTTATGAAACCTTCTCCAAAACTGACTATATAGTCGGGCACATAGCAAGCCTCAACAGAGAAGATTGAAATAATTGTTTGTATTATATCAGACCACCATGGTCTAAAATTAGTCCTCAACAATATCAGAAATAACAAAAGCCTGCATACCCACAGAAACTGAACAACTCTCTACTCAAACAGGTCAGGGAGGAAATAAAGTAAGTAATTAAAGACTTCCTAGATCTTGAAAATGAAGGTACCCTAACCTGTGGGACACAATGACAACAGTGCTAAAAGGAAAGTTAAGACCACTAAGTGCCTTCTAGGAGAGGAGCATGTGGGGAGGGAGAGAAGGGAGTGTGGTTAGGACTGGGAGGAGAAGAGTGAGGGAGCTACATCCAGTTTACAAATTGAATAAATTGTAATAAATAAATAAATAAATAAATAAATAAATAAATAAATAAATAAATTTGAGACATTTCATACAAGCATCTTAATAGCACACCTGAAATCATTAGAAATTAAAATAAAAACAGAAAAACCCAAGAGTCGCAGACGGCTGGAAATAATCAAACTAGGGGCCGAAATTCATAAATTAGAAACAAAGAGAACAATTTAAAAAAAAATCAATTAAACCAAGAGCTGGTTCTATGACAAAATCAACAAGATAAAGAAACCCTTAGCCAAACTAACTAAAAGATAGAGAGACACTATCCAAATCAACAAATTCTGCAATGAAAAAGGGAACATAACAACAAACATTGAGGATATCCAAAGAATTAGTAGGTTCTATGTCAAAAACCTCTCGGCTACAAAATTTGAAAATCTGAATGAAATGGACAATTTTCTTAATAGATTTTATCTAGCAAAGCTGAATCAAGATCAGATAAATAAATTAAATAGTCCTATATCCTCCAAGGAAATAGAAGCTCTCATCAAAAGTCTCCATCCAAAAAAAGCCTAGGGCCAGATGGTTTCAGCAGAGTATTCTACCAGGCCTTCAAAGAAGAGCTAAGACCAATACTCCTCAAACTATTCCACAAAATAGAACCAGAGGAACATTACCAACCTCATTCTATGAGGCCACAGTCATCTTGATACCTAAACCGCACAAAGACCCAACAAAAAAAGAGAATTCCAGACCAATCTCACTTATGAACATTGATGTAATACATTTCTTATACAAGGTAACTAACTCCTTCTCCACAGTTCCAAAAGGATCTATTGAACCTTTGCATAGAAGAGCTCAAGTCTGCAGTACTAGACTTCTTTCAGTACACTTGCTTTTATTGGTTTCCATGGTGCCTACAATAGCCCAATTTTCACATGGTTTCCTGTCTCTGGCTACTTTTTAGACTGTTCACACAACCCCCTTGTTTTTGAGGCAAACCCTGGAAGCTTTCTGTGTTTTATAATCTTTTCCGTCAGCATACTCCACCACTTATGATCCCTGCCTTGTGCATATCTAAACAGATGATTTTCTCTACTATTTTTTTTCTCCAATTCCCTCTCCACGTTTCTCTTCAGAAGAAGTTATCTCACTTCATGAGCATGGACATTTGATTTGCATCCCAAATCAGCA